CTTCATCTCACTTTTCACAAATTAACATTTTATATAACGATGAAGCAAAAATTCAGACATATTAAGGTTTTTTATGTAACATATCCTATCTTTTGTATAATTCCTGTTAGGGCATACAGCTTTCAATATTATTTTTCCATCCTTATACATGCTTTTTCTGTTGTTACAGCATTAAACTTTATTTTAAGTTGTATTTGAACTTTATTGTTTTAAGTTATTTAAATGTTATTTATAAAAAAAGATACTTATTAAGCTGCATCTGTTTCATATGCTTTTAATTCTAAAGGAATAACAAAATGGTCTGGCTGAGATGCATGAATTTTTTTCTGTGACCAGACACAAAGACTAGTACACAACCCTCCTGCCAACATACATTGGATGGCAGACAAAAATGACAGCCTGCAGCAAACCACACAATAGACATCTCAAAAGAAACAATGCAAAAATCTTAAAAATCTTTGCCACATACTCTTGCTGATTAAAGGCTCAGAGTTATGCCAGGTAAAAGAAGGTTACAGTTCCAGCAGGTAATGGAAATAACTCTCAGATGGTAGAACCAAAACTCACAGATACAGAAATATGGACGAGCCTGCAGGACCAGTTTGAAACTGCAGCTAAAATCAGTGTGACCTGCTGAAGAAAAGACATCTTAGTTTTCCAGCTATTAAAGTGTTCAGCTAAGCCCTACATGATTAATGCATTGTATCATTTCATTCTGCTCAGTTTTCCCCACATGTTTTCTTGGTAGTGTGATAACTGCACTTAGATAAAGATCACCAAAAAATGAGCCGAAGCAGCTGCCAGATGACTGGGATACAGTCAAGTTAATTAATAATGGTCTTAAATGCCCTATGCTGCATTACAAGTGTTTAGGGTCTACCACTTTTTCCTACAGGGAAAACTTTCTTTTTAAGAGCACTCACAGAAAACAGCAAAAATTCTCTTTAACAAATATTTCTTTTTCAAAAAAAATACTTGTCTAACAAATAGTGTGATTTGAAAATTGATTGTGTTACTAGCAAGTCAAAAATCAAAGAAGATATAAAGAGATCCTTGCAGGAAAATGTGTCACTACAGCTGTATCAGTAAACCTTCCCTGTGCTCTTGCTGGTTTATCTATCACATGTTCCATGATCACAACAGACTGTACTATGAAAAGCTTTTTTGCTGATAACTGTCTGCACTCCTTTCTGTGAATATATAAACATGAAACCAAGTTCACACTCATGATCAACATTAACACACCAGCAGAAGTTTCTATACCTAACCTAGATTAGTTAAAACTTTGAAATAAAAATGAAAATAACATCTCATTAAGATTGTGCTTAAAAGCTCTACTGAAGTTTGAATGAAAATGTAAGTACACGTTTATATATGAATATATATGTAAAAAACCCTTAAAATTAAAACCAGATGTGGACAAGCTCTTTTAAAAGATCTTTTGATTATGTAATTGAAGAATATAGAAACACAGTCATACAATTCCTGAGCCCCAGCTGTAATTAGCCTTTACTGCTGACTGCTTTCTCTAATGAATCCCTATGTTACCATCATTACCAGGTAAGCCAAGGCTGCTTTATGTTTTACAGCTGTCATAACTGAAATGTGTCCTGTGAGGGAACTGCTCACAGAAAGACACCTGACTGCAAATGATGCAATTCTTCAGTACCACAGTCATATGGCCTTAAAACTGAACAATTTTCAATGTAGCTTTATGTCAGAAAAATCTCTTCTGAAATACTTATTTTTAATTCAGGAAAAAAATCAGTTTAGTGATAAAACTATAAAATAATAATCAGAAAATGTAAAGTGATGATCTACAGCAGCGAACTATTAAAAGACAAGGATAATAAAAAGAAGCTATCAGGATTTAACAGATATTCAAAAAGATGTCAGAAATCCTCACAAAAGCCTATTACATCAATTACATCACAATTTAATGTTAACATCAACATATAATATACCATGTGGGAGGAAAACACATTTGTATGAAAAGAAACAGATACTCATTTCTAGATATGGCCCATTAGTAACCTTTATAACACTAAAGGTTCAAGCAAACCCAAACAAAATGGTTATAAAAGCCAAGCTCAGTTGTAATTTCTTTGCTTTTCCTTCAGAGGCATTGGCTTTCATGCAGCTTTTTATTTTGTTTACCACCAACACTGCACGGTGTGCACAGACTGGGCTTTAGGAGTGAAACACAAGCTCTGAGGGTTAAGCAGCACCTCCAACAGCCACTCACATTTCATGGGAACTGCTCCATTACACAGGCTCTTTAAATTTAATTAGCAAGGTTCTACTTAATTACTTATCTTTTGCATTAGTGCTGATAAACACTCTGGGACACAGCAATGGGCAAATCTCATCTGAGGAATCTCCCAGAAGGCTGCAGGATATCCATCCCTGGAGGTTTTCCAGGTCTGACTGGACAAAGCCCTACACAATCAGTGTGGGCTCTGCTTTGAGCAGGAGATGGGACAAGAGACCTGCAGCACTCTGCCAACCTAAATGAGTCTAGATTCCATAGGAAAGTTATTTTTCTTGAAACAACGACACAAAACACATTTTCCACGTTAGGGAGATAATTACACATTTGTCTCATCACTTGTGTGTCATTAAAGGTATGCAAAATGGTGTAAATACACAATAAAAAATGACAATTGGACAATTTCCATGACTTTTTAGAACACCTGATATGGTACAACACGGTCTCACTTTTAGTTCTGTAGCAAGTACTTTAAAACACTGTTCTGCACAGCATCTGTAATAATCAGATTACTACATGATCCATTAATTATTAAAATACACTTGTCTGTGTTTTTAAATTACTTTTTGAAGAAAACATGTATATTCTCTTTGAATAAGCTGAAGCAAAATGTAAGTTAATATTAAATCAATAAAGTAATGAGAACCACAGTATTTCATTGCACTCAACGACCAGTATCTGAGTAGTCTAAATATTTCTAAGTTTAAATAAATAAGCCTAGGACATCTATCTCCTCACTACCAACTTTTCAAAAACCATAGTAGTTTCATAACACATAATATGTAGAAAATAAAAATGACAGTTTAGATGATTTTCTCCAAATCAGGAAAACGGTCATCCTCAGAGTTGATATCCATACTTAGAAATAATAATGTACTTTTTTTAAACTAACATTTAATAGCAAAAAAAAAAGGAAATTCAACTGTTTACATCACTGGATGATTTTTAAAAGGCAATAGTTATTTAAATCACGTTTACTTAAAACAGTGGAGAAGGTGAATTTGTTAGCAGAAAAAAAGCTAAATTCTTTCTGCTGTTAGTAGAATAATGCTGAGAATCAGGACTGTATTTAAAGCAAAAACTCAGATGTGAAAATATTCAAGGAGTTACACAGGGGTTTTAACATGGGATTTATATTAACTTTAATAATATCCTCACAGCAAAATTACTTTAAAAGCTATTTAACACCATACATTGAAATTCATAGTCTTACATAAAATAAAACTTCAGAATTTAATTATAAATATTTGGGAGGTGAGGGGGGGGTAACATAGTATTAAAGCTACCAAGTGTTAAGTCTTGAGCTCTGTAAATAACTTCACAATAAATACCTGGCTGAGGAAAGCTGGCTTGTAAATCTCAAGCATTCCAGACACTGAAATTCCATAACTGCTTACATTCCAGACCCAAAATGGGAGATTTCCTTCAATTCTGTTTGGAAGGCAGATCCTAGCTTACCAAGATTCGTTGTTTCATTAAGGAAACTCTTTTATTTAGAGGCCTGGCACTTCAAAAGGATGTCTCTTGACACAGAGGGGAAAAAAATACTCACTTCAGATGAAATTACTTCCTCATGAGAATAACTATTTATCTCCAGTGCTAAGCAGAAAAGCAGAGGAGTTAGAATGAAGATGCATAAACTTGTCACATAAAGGTTACAGTGTATTCAAGCTGAAGTCCAATATCAAATAACAAATCTCACTTTTACAATCATTTCTCAAACAGTGTTTCAGTGAAGATGGGGAAAGACCTGAACACTGAGCTTTAGTCAGTGTAGTCCAGATCTTGGGGGACACCAGGTACCCAGGGGTTGGCTGTTGGCACCTAGGGACAACTCGAAGGGTCAGGTGAAGTAGGCTGCTGAAATTCAATGTATTTCAATAGAAAGTCCATACCTAATGTACTCAGCTCCAGGAGGAGAGTAGGGATCTGTGTTACCTAGTACCCAGATAGCTTTCTGAAACTCATTACAAGTTCACTTTACATAGAGCAACAGCTTCCTCATCTTTGAGGAGTTAGGCTGGTCAGTTTTAAGGGCTCAGTCCTCTGCAGGCTAAGCTTTCTGGAACTAACAAAGTGTGCAAAATTAGGAAATATTTGTGTTACTTGGGTGTTCAGAACAGTGTAAGACTAAAACACAAAACCATCTTTTTCGACCTTTGCAAAGTAAACACTGAAAACAGCTCATTCTACAGACCAGTCTTCAGTGGTTTTCATCTCAGTTTTGTGACCATGTGCCATCACTGCACTGACACAGGCATGGTGTGATGTTCACTGAACAACTCCTGCAAGTCCTTATGGAATGTCTTATTTCCATATTGTTGTTTCTATACAGAAGCAAAGGCATTACTTCCAGCCTATATCCCTAACCACAGTTCTTTCATTCTCCCACTTTTATTTGAAAGAATTTGTGTCACTTTATCCACAGAATCACAGACTGGTTGAGGTTGGAAGGGACCTCTGGAGGTCACCTGGTTCAACCCCTCTGCTCAAGCAGAGGAGCCAAGACCACATCCAGACATTTCTTTGAATATCTCCAAAGAGAGAGACCCTACAACCTCTTTGCACAACCTGTGCCAGTGCTCAGTCACCCTCACAAGAAAAAGATGTTCTTTCAGCTGGTGCCCATTGTCTCTTGACCTATCACTAGGAAACACTGGAAAGAGCCTGGCTCAGTTCTCTTTTGCACCCTCTCTTTAGGTATTTATTACATTGATAAGTTTTCCCCTGAGCCTTCTCTTCTCCAGGCTAAACAGTCCCAGTGCTCCCCGACTTCACTCATGGGGGAGATGCATCAGTCCCTTAATCACCCTTGTGACCCTTCACTGGACTCTCTCCAGTATGTCCACATCTCTCCTGTAACTAAGGAGCCCAAAACTGAACACTCCAGGTGTGGTGTCACCAGTCCTGAGCAGAGCAGAAGAATGACTTCCCTATTCTTCCAACTAGTCCAGTAATATCTTTAATACCACTAGAAATGTTTTTTATAATGTTACATTGTATAATTCTAATTAGAATTCAGGACCAAGTCTCTTTACAATTACAACTGGCTGTCTAAGCATAAACACAACTCACTATTACCTTGGACAGCACCAGTTTGGATGGTCAAGAATCTAGTCATCAGCTACTCACTGCTGAGTTTTCAGGGCTCATCTACTGGCCTTTGAAACCTGGCTCTGCTACAGATTTCTCATATAACTTTAAGCAAGCCATTTTCAATGCCCTATTTGATAAGTAAGAAAAACAAGTTTGAGCCTGGTACACGCTGCTAAAACATCAAACACACACCCACAGTGGCTTTAAATTACCTGACTCATTACACCAGGGCAGCAGAGGAGCTGGAGCTGTTTCTGCCCACACTCACAGTGACTTCTGTTGCTACAAAGGACACCACACTGTCCCAGTTAGGTTGTTGTCTCTGTTCAAGGTGGCAAACAGGGTTGGCAGCTTGTTTATGTCTGCTGTGATATTACAGCACAGCACAGGAAAACTGGATGAGAGCTGTAGAAGAAAGGGAACATTTGAAAACCACGGACACTCAATTCAATTTAAGACACACTAATATGACAGCCAACCTGCCTATCCCTAGGTCTATTCCTAGGGATTTCACAAAAAAACTAGACACCAAAGTGGATCTGGACAAGTAACTGCCTTCTCAGTGGTCATGCAAGAGAATAAGGGATTATTGAACAAAACTGTGAACTCTGTGAAAGCCTAAAGCAATAAGGTGGATCACTGAACAGGGTATTAACAGGGAGGGCTAAAATAGTGAGGCTTCTCCCTTTTATTTTATTGTCACAGGAAAAAACAAGTCATTATATCTTGGCAAGAAACATGAAAAAACAACAGCTTTGGTGACTTCAAAATTACTGTCATTAAAAAGACTCCCTATGGTTTGAAGTGTTATTATAATCAACAGCTGAGGTGATTTATTGTACCTGCTTCAAGAATAATCACTTTCTACTCGGTTTCATATTCTTGTTTTCATATACCAGTAAAGTAATACAATGACCAATATCTAAAAGTAAATACGATTATATCAGAACAAAACCATTTGAATGTATAAAAACTACACAAATGTTTCCACTGGGTTTAGGCTTTGAGATTTAAAAAAATACCCAAATGTTCCCCTGTTCAAAAACATGTATACATTTCTATTTCTAAAAACTGTACTGCAAAGTGAGCAACACAAAAAATGGATTCTGTAAACAGGAATTTCCTTTCAAGACCATAACTCGAGAGCAACACTGACTTTCAATTTTAAAGAAGCCACGTTAATTGTACTTGTAAAGAAACACTGAAGTAAAAAAGAAAAATTATTCTGGAAAGCTAACAGGCAACACATAATGACAATTTATTAAGCCACAGCTGGGCATAGGCAATCCATACCAAGATTCTACAAAGCTGTATCCATTTGCAGAGACTAAATCCTTCAGCTGGGTCTCAAAGGGAACTCTCCTCTTTGCTTAGAAAGCCCCACACAGTTCTTTTACCTCCACTTTAGAAGAGAAAGCTTTATGGGAATCATGGCACATGACAGAACACTTCCCTTCCTCTGACATGTCTGCAGTACTTAGTGCATTCAGGGTTTCCTGAGTACAGCATGTTCCAAAACTTCTCTCCTTAGCATTAACAGGCACAAGAGACAACCCTCTATCTTTTCCTAAGCACTGAACATAACTCTAGAGAAAATCAGAGTGATACCGTTGAAAATGGCAGGGGCTGGGCAGTGGGAATGCACATTTATGAGTTTTCACTCAGATGTTTTCCTCTCAATTGTTTTGCAACAAAAATAAGGTTTTCCTACCTTAGCAACTGATCTAAAACCAGAAAAGCACATGAGCACATGAAAAACAATAAATGGGGGGAGGGGGGAGGCAAGGATGAGAAAAATTATGGTTATGGTTGGTGAAGGAGGACAAAAAGGAGTAAGAGAAGACTGTTAGCATAAAATTATGGCTGTAGATGATTGAAGGAAAACAGTAATTTCAGGGAGGGGGAAAAGAGAAGAAACTGGGTCCCCTCAAGAAACAAAATGCTGGGTAACATTAGGAAAGGGAGCAAGTTAGAAGCAACATGAGCACAAGAAGCTTGAAAAAAGAAGTAAAAATAGTGGCCATGAGGAAGTCCAGTAGGTTAGTATGAAACAATAAAAGGCAAGGTCTGATCCATCAGGACAGTGAAGCAGAGGCTGGAATGCAAGACACACTGAAAATGGGAGCCAGACACCAGAGAAAGGAGTAGAAAAAAGACTGGTTGTCATTAGTATTAGAAAACTGATAAATCAAACCAATCAGATTTTACTAGATGGAACATAAGCAGATCCTTTAAATACTTTGTAATATTGTTTACAGCTTAATCAAATAGAAGTATCAGTATATTGGCAGGATATATGTTTAGAGTTGACCAAAATTCACGACTCATTTTTAATTGCTTTAACATTTTGATTTTGTGCAAAACAAACTGAAAATATTACTAATAATTTTTGTTGACAATTAAGATTTTGCAGTGTGCTCTAAGTTCTATTCCAAAATGTACAGTCACGTGCATTATGTGTTTAAAAATATTTACAAGACTTACTGGCTGTTGCAGAACTGGCAGATGCAGCAGCTTGTGTGTTAGCAGTAGCATCTTTACTGTCTGATTTACTGTGGCAGCCTTAAAGCTTTTGAGATTCCATTTCTTCCACACCCATTTCCTTGGGTTTAGATCTGAAAAGAAAAAACTTAATTTAGAAAAATGTTTATGTTAATTTTGAAAATCACCCTATGAAATACTCCCAAATGAAATTAAAATTGCTTTGTTTCCTGCCTAAAACGGGCAAATTTTTATGCCCCCGGTCAACTTTCAGGCATGGGTTCCAAGCCTGTTAACTGAAATAATTACATTCATATAGTTAAAGTTAACCAGAACAGTTTTTGCTATCTCCCTTCTGCTTCTGCTTGGTTTTGCACATGGCTGAATATCCTTACTTTGTGGTTGTTCCAATTCTGGTAATTCAATACATTTGCATAGGTTTTGTTGAGGTTGTGAATTATTCTCACAGCAATACTTAATTGACTTTATTCCGTGGTTTTCAGTATTCATTCCACTAGAATTTTACACAGCTCCCACACCATAAGTCTCATGCAGATACAGAATTTCTGCCATAGCAGTGGTCTCCCAGAGTCTTGGGATTTTTTCTGGTCTGACTAAATTTCAGTTAAATCTGTCCATTATCTATTTATAGAGGTTACACATTACAGAGAATACTGTGGGCTTACCCAGCTCTTCCAAGTTAAAGACCCATTAGGAGTTTGGAGCATTTATAACTTTGATGTATGTAAACCTTCTCTAAATTAAATTTTCAGGGTGATCTTTTTCTACATACAATTTTCTCTGTCTGTAACTAAAAAGGAAATTCTGCCCAACAAACAGTGACTGACAGAGAGAAAGGTTTTGAGAAAAATATTTCTGTATTTTATATCTACTTCAAAAACATATTTCTATTGCATTTGTCAATCAGCATCAACATACAAGATAATGAAATCCACATTGTCACGAAATCTAAATAAATGAGCAGTAAAGATAGAAATCTGCTCTAAATCTAAGTTTTGGAATGGATATCAAATGACATATGCAATCTAAAAATCATAAACTTTTACTGTCAAAACATGTAGATATTTAATGGTAATATAATACTATTTCCACTAGAAATTTCTAGGACAGGTACAGTCTGAATCCTGTAAGGATATTTGTAAAAAGTGGTCATTTTTTATAGAGAGACACCTTCAGGGCCACCTACAAATAGCTGTTTTTGCCAAAAACATTTTGAGATGTTTGATCCAGCTGTATTTTTCTTAAAGAGAAATAAAGCCATGGATAGTCAGCTCAGATTCCCTTCCGGGTTATGGTTTAAACTATTTATCCATATTTACATACCAACAACCAGTATTAAGAAATCATAATCATCATTATTAGTGAGCTGAGAAAGCCAGTTTTGACAATAGTATTGCTAGCTCTGAATTTTCTCTGTGTGTATATATGTACACAATTACCAGAGCAAAAAGCAATAGATTCTCATTGAACTGCAGACCTGGTAGAAGGGAAAAAAATTACTAGTACCTGATAGCCACTGAAAAACTAAGTCTGCCAATGCCTCCTTAAAATCATCATCAAAACATTTGATAGATTCAGGAAATACTTCACAGAAAGCAAAATAAATGACTTGCAATGAGCAATCAGTATATACCTGACAAAATATTGTATCTAAAAAGTCTACAAAAGAGATTTGATATTACAATTTTTTTACTTAATGTAAAATGTTCAAGTGAACTGTAGCAGTTGCAAAGACCTTCTGCCAAATAAAAAAAAAAGTATAACCTTTTGTTATTTGTGTGAGACATTAGGCAACTGTACAAACAAGAGGGGAATTCACTTCTCAAAAACTTATCAATGTAAAAGTCAAAGTTCCCAGTTATGCCTGAACTGGAGGATGCTGATTTCAACAAATTACATGGTTTCAATAAGTCCTTAGGGTCAAAATTAGGATGCAGAATAAGTAATATTTGCTAATATTTAACTAATTATTATATTTAATGAAAACCAAGTAATTCTTAAAAGAACCTAATTTAATATTATAATTTAATTTTATTATTCACACATTATACGAGCTCAAAAAAAAAACCCTTTACTGACTGCTCATGATAATTTCGAGCTTTTCCTCACCAGTTCTGGTTGCTCTCTCTGGTTCCTAAATGCATGTGCTTCCAGCTCTCTTCTGCAGCCAAAAGCTGCCAGTCTGGATGCATGTAAATTGGCTCCTGTGTCATGTTAATACTTTCATGAGCTGAAATGCAGCATCTACCCATATACCACTGAAAATGCTACTTGTACTCTTACCTGAGAAAAAGCATCTTTAGCGTCCCCAGGAACAAGTTTGGAAAATATGCCACAAAATATTGCAATTCTGTCAAGAAGTGCCAGGAGGATGTTAATATTTCTTGCATCTTCCTTATCTGGGTATATTTGCACCTATTTAAGAACAAATAAACAAAAATTTTTAATCAGTCCTCCAAAGGTGTGTGGCATTTCAGAAAGCAGCACCAGCCTCTGGCAGTGTATTATAAATATCTCTAACAGGAAGAGCTGTAGATTATAAACTCATATAAAATTTTTATCCAGTGCAAGTAATAAGATCTCCAGCCATTCTTTGGATGTCAAGGCATTAGGCTTTGCTTAAAAAAAAAAAAAAAAAAAAATTTTTATTTTGTAGGACTAGTGATTACTTTTGTACATTGTCAGCTTTAACCAACATGCTTCTCTGTGTGTGTTTTTAGCACTTTTTCTCAAAAATCTTGCATTTGTGCACATGTTTTGTGGCCAGTGCTATCGACAGGTCACTCTTTGGACACAGAGTTTATCAAGGCTGCTCAAGAATCTGAATTTTAAATCTCTCCTTCACTCTGCACAACTTGTTTTTATCAGCTTGACAGTATTTGGACTTGGATAAATGACAGGAATTAGGTTTCCTTCATTTATAAATGTGAAGCAGTCAAAATTCACTCCGAATATTTACAGTATTCTTCAGTCTGATCAGGTAGTAACTATCTTAAAATAGATTGTGACATTCAACCAGTGCAATACTAATTAATGATAGGTTAATGTGCAAAAAATTATTTTTATTAATAATAACAACTTAATATGCAAAATGGGTCAAAAGTCAGGACTGCAGACTATGACTTCTCACTTGTCTGCAAGGGAAGTAACTAAAGTATTTAAAGCCATACCTAATTCCCACTGAAGTGAGTAAAAAATAAAACCAGAGAGGTCAGGGTTGCAATAACACTCTAAACTGCTGTTTACAATTTTTGTGGCTAAGTCAGTCATCATATTTACACAGTGTTTAGAATTTCCATCACCCAATATATCTGAATTCATGTAGCCTTAGAAAAATTGACTGACTCAGTTTGGTGTCGGAGATATTTCTTTGACTTCCAAGTCACACCATAGTCATTAGACAGAATCCTGTGTACCTTTTTACATGTAGGGCAAAAAAAAATCACCTATATATTCCTAACATTTGACTTCTCAGTAATATATTTGGCAACCTGAAAAATGTTTAAGTACTCAATTCATAATTAATGTTATTTCACACAATGATATAAACAATATTTTCAGCTAATTCATGCTATGAACTGTGAAGGTACTTCAGATAAGGAGCATTGGTCTAAAACTGATACTTCAGGTGACTACAGATACCTTTGGAGATATAAAGAAATAAAAAGGACTTTTTCAAGTTGTTTTTTTATCTCCCCCAACAAACATACACAGAGAGGTGTAATCCCATTTCTGGATCCAATAAAAAAAAGTGAAAATTTCATCTTTCTTGTTTTATCCACAAAAACAATTAAAAATATGAAACACTCCCGTACTTTCCCCATCTCACTCATTTGAGTCAGAATTTCCTCTGCAGCAATTTGCTCTGTAACAACGTCTTAAAAAAATTAGCAAGGTTTAGGTAGAAATAGAGGCTGGATTGATAATTTTATTGATTAAAAGTTCTAATCAGGCAAAGACTTTACACATATCTGGATCTACACCTAAATGTGTCTGCACACAAAACTTATCACACTGTACAGTCCTGCTGCATCACTGGATTGATTGGAAGGCTTAAAAGCCACCATTTTGATCTTTCTATATGACTCATCTTTCCTTCGTAACACCAAGAGCTGTGGAGAATGTTTGCACAGACTTTTGCCTGCACTTTATTTAGGCCTGAAGAGAAATGCTCCTAAAACCCACGCAGAACTGGGACTTGGGCTTATTAGACTTTTTTAAATTATAAACTTGATTCTTACAACCTGAGGGAAAGCTGTAAACACTTATCTGGGCCAATGTCTTTCAGGTACTCTTTTCAAAGATGTTCCTCTAGATAAGCTGGGCCACTGTAATGAAAATACTTTTTCAGCACAATTCTCTAGTTCAGTGACATGGGTCAAATCTGAGAGTGGACTGATGTTCAGTGGAACATGTTCATACACACATTTACATATGACACTGAAGGAATAATCTTTTTGTAGCTTACCCACCAAAGAGAAAGGCTCATCAAGAGAGACACAACTCAGCCATTCCTTCTGCAGTCAGTCCATTGGAAAAAGTTATTTCTGAAAATTACACAAATGCAAAGATTAAGTAATCTGTGAACTCTATTTTGCATGAAGAATTGTAATAGGAGTGTAAATGCATATAACATCTAAGAATCTCTAATTCTGGCACCACTGTAAGGAGACTGTGATTTCCTCCTGTCCCACATACTGCATTCAGAGGTGATTACATCATCTCCAGGAGACAGAACAACTGAAATAGGCCAGGGAGGCCCATTAGAGCAGACACAGAGTAATTAAAAAGACTATAACGTTTTAGTTAGACAAGGAGATAACTCAAGAAAAAAAGGGTCATTATGTTTCTAAAGAGACAAATAAAATCATGTGCAATTTAAGTTCTCAGAAAGGCCAGTAATGCCTTCCATCTGTTGAGCACAGCTTTGGAAGCACAGGAGGAAAGTCTGTTCCTTGATCTAGCACAGAATTCAAACAAGCAGCCCAAATATTTGAGCAAATTGTTGAAACCAAAGGTAGTTGTTTGAAGTTAACCATCAAAATGATCACTTTCCTGAAATAACTTAGTAAGTGTTAATACAGAGTAATTCATGTGTTTTTAAGCCCTCTGGTAGAGCTGAAAGACATCAACATGTTCTATCTTAATAGCAGGGCAGCAAGACAAATTATTTCTTTAAAAAAAAAATCAGTGAAATGCTATTGAATGTAAGGAAGCTATTGATACATAGAGGTTCATTCTGTGATTCTGTGACTTCAGGGTAAAAAGGAAAAAGGTAATAATAGCAATTAGAAATTAAAAAAACATTAATATTTTGTTCTTACATTATCCCTAATTAAATGTTTCCATTTTTATGTCAAGTTGCTTTTTATACTGAAATGTTCCACCCACCAAAATATTTTCACACATTTTTTGTTTCTTTGTTCCAGTGAGAGAAGTAGTTCTGGTTCAAAGCAAAATGTGAAAAATATGAAAGGGCACTTAATCAGAAAGGTAGAACCTCCATTTCCTTCTCAGTACCTCCATAACATTTATATTATTATTATATATGCACTTCTAAAATACACACTGAAGAAAAAGCAACAAATCTGGCATTGTTCTTACAGATTTAGTTTTTAGTTTAGAAGTTGGAAGCAATGGGAGAGTTTCAGATTAGCCAAAGTGTTCACGGAAATCAATCAACTGGTATCTTCGGAGTTCAGTATAATTAAAAAATCAAACTTTTGAGTTGCATCTGAGTAGAAATCAAGTGTGAGAAATGCTGGTTTGGAAAAGATAATATTTTTTAGTATATTCTGAAATTAAGAGCCCCAAACAAAACCGATACAGCATCCATTCCTAAAATATTATTTCAGTATCGCAGTTTTTGGGTAAATAACTGTATAGAATAAAAGTATATAAAGGACTAATTCAGATTTCAGAGCCTGATTTTAAATAATGAGGAAGCTCAGTTTATTCCCAAACAAGTTCTGCACTAAGCACCCAAAGAAATAATTCAAAGAGGTGGTAAACTTAGCAAAACCTACTAAAATTAAGTTTGTCAAGGAAGAGTTTTAGAAACCATTATAAAAGTCTTCTTTTGTCTAATAAACATTTTTATTTTGGCATCGTTAACTACTGAACATCACAAGGTATTGTCACAGAGTAAGGTAGTAAAAAACATGGATGGGGAAATGTAGCTATTTTTCCCTACTACTGCAATGTGTGACATGCTGCCAGCATGAAGAACTGATCAAGTCAAAACAAAACAAGTAATAACAGAATGCTGGTAGGCATTCTCTGCCACTGGATGTAATACCACTGAAGTCAGTGAGGTTTTTGGGGTGTAACCGAGATCAAAGTTTGGCATAAAATCTGCCTATAATGTCAACCTTTCCCCCTAAAGCTACTACAACTAATACATCACAGACTTCATTTCACTGAGAGAAATATTCTCTATACCAAAATTACTGTTTTAGTTTAGTCACTTCAACCTAAAAATGCAGTTACTAAAGACTGAATATTGGGTAAATGCGACTGTGGGGCAGCATCCTCAACCAGGCCAAGGAATTTCACAGAGCAGATCCCATGTGCTCTTTGGAGAGAGATGCAGAACCAGCAGCAGGCACTCGGTATGCTGTAAGTATACTACTAGGTGGGGGGAAAAACACAGGTAAAAGAAAAATCCAACTGATCCAGCTTTCCAGGAGTTGCCAAGGCAGTGACACAAACCCGCAGCCTCCCGCCCCAGCGGTTTCCAGGCTGTCCCCTCACGGCGGGGGCAGCGCTGGGCACATGTCACAGGGCGGGAAACACCTGGCACTGACCCCGCTCCCCGGGAACTGTGTGTGTGGTTTCTGGTCAGGTTTTTGCGACACAACACGTCGAAAAAAATCCCATTCCGAGCGGGAGGCTCCGAACAAACACAAGCCCCCGGACAGAGACAGCAGCCGCTCTCAGCCCCGGGCTGCTTCCGCTCCCCCCTCCCGCCGAGGCAGAGCTCGGCACTTTCGTTCCGGGGCTTGCGAGGGCCGCGGCGGAGCAGAGCCGAGAGGCGGGTGAGGAAGGGCTGCAGCCGGGCAGGGGATGAGGAGAGGAGCGGGGCGGAGGGCAGGACGGAGGAGGCAGCGCTGAGGGGCCGCGCTGTGCGCGGACGGGCTCGGGCGGCCCGCGGGGGGAAGCGGCTCTGCGGCCGCGGGGCCTGCGGGACGGGGGCCGCTCAGAGGTGCCCGAACGGCGGGAGCGCTTTGTTATTCCCGTGGGAGATCCCCGCCCCGAGGTCTGTGCCCTCCGCTGCCCTCGGCCCGCGGTGCTGTGGCCGCTGCGCTCACCTCAGGGAGCAGCGGCAGCAGGGCACGGCGGTGGGGAGCTCATGGCACCCCACGCACCCCCAGAGCTTCACACAACCCCCGAGGTGTCCGGACCGAGGTCCGGAGTTGCAGCTGCAATGTGGAGAGAACCCTCCAGCAGGAGCGATTTATCCGGGCTTTGGAAATCAGGTGTAGACGGAGTTATTTACAGTCTTAAAAGTACGTATGAAGTGAGATTTGGGTCTTACAAGTTGCATGAACTCTGTTGCTGTCGTTTTCTGCGAGGAATACCGTGCGAACACAGCTGAACGTGGGCACAGCTCTTATTGTGAGGCCGCAGCAGATCCCCTGTCAGTATCGGTAACGAAAGTGCTTCGAGGTGTCACCCTTGAGCACCACAAGACTTCATGCACTGAAAAGAATCGGTTTGCAGGCTGGGAATGCATGTCCAATTCCAGGGCCTCTCGCCCTCTCTGCTGCTTGAGGAAACTTGATAATAGTGTGGTATATTTGCTTTATCTCAGATATACTTGAAAGCAATTGCAGTATAAATTTTGTGTGCATGTTAGATTTTGTGTTTATTTGAATGGACATCCCTGACCTTTCAGAAGTCAGACTTTGTCAAAAGGAGAGGGGAAGGTATCAGACCATACATGAGTATCTAATTTTATCAGACAATAACAATTTTTTCTGGCATTAATTTCAATTTTTTATTGGAAAGCTAGCTGAGTTTTTTTGTTTTATCATTTTTCAATTAAATTACACTTGATTTTATTTAAACACTTAATTTTTGGATCACATCTCAGGAATTATTGTTTGTTTGTTTTTGTTAAACATGACTGGTTTGTGACATCATTTCGTAAGTGTGATCCCTGACATGAAAAAGTAAACCTAAATTAGCTGAAAGTAAATACTTAGAATGACTTTTTTTCATTTCCAGTGATGCAGCACAAAGTGCTAAAGGCAGTTTGTAACTACTGCAGGCTGTGCAGGCTGCTGACTGGGGGCTGCTTTGAAGATCAGAGAGGACCCTGAGTGATCTGTCAGAAGGGCTTTACTAAAGCCTGGAGTGACTCTGAGCCTGAGCTCACAGAGCACTGATTCTGTCTGCACTGGCTGGGGGCACATGGTCCTGGTTCTGCTGCACAGCTCCGAGTACACGGTGAAACTTCTGCACCAGCTGCAGAGGGTGAGACAACACCTGTGTGGAAGAAAGCCTGGAAAAAACCCACCAATGGTACTAAAGAAATACAAACTTGCAGAACATATCTAGGCTGGGTCAGCACTTCCTATCTGGTACATGGAGCACCAAAGCCCTGTTCTAGCTCTTCTAATTTTTCAGCCTCAAGCTTTGCTCTTGGAAGATTTCTTCTATCTCACAATGTTCTGCCCAGGAGGGATTTCATTCAGGGTGTTTGGTTGGCCCACACACAATAAGTTTCAGGATAGAGATCTAAATTTGTACAATTAGCTTTTCTCTTATGGATTTCTATCCTCTAGACGTGTAATTCATTGTTGGTAGTCATGCTGAAGACTAATGGGATTGCTCATCCAGGTAAACACTGTTTAGCAGTGTTTTCATAAACTTTTAGTCCCTGATCCTAACAACAGAAAAAAATATATTTCTGCAGGAATTGAGTGGGATAACTTAGTAAAATTATGAACATGCCTATATGTGCATTAAAGAGGCAGATCTCAGGTTCTTTCCAGCTGTTTGTCTCATGCCCTCCTGAAATCTCTTTGGAGTTCTTGGTGCTATAATAACTGAATCAGATGATTTTATTACTCCTTCTGCTGTAGGAAATACCTTCTCTCATGAGTATTTTTTTGTTAAATAGGATAATACAGAATAATTTTCAATAAATTAGTTCATAGTAACTGGACTTTTATTTAACAACATATTGTGTGTTTCAGCTAACCATGTCTTTGAGTTCATCCACACAAGGACCAAAAAGAAATACTGAGTGTTTGGAAAGCCAAGAACTGCAGACTCCATCATCATTTGAAGATAACCCTCTTCAACAATTACAGTTAGCATCCCAGGAAGTGCTGGAAAAGGCAAAAAAGAGTGGGAGATCAAAATGCCCCCGATGCAGTAGTTCAAGGATGTTTTATTGTTATACATGCTTTGTTCCTGTTGAAACTGTCCCTACCAAAGAAATTCCAACTGTGAAGGTTAATATATCTAATGGATTTTTTATAATATTCTTGTGTCTTTTAGTTACTGTGCACAGAGAATAATCTATCTGCAGCCATTTATTTTCTGAGTTACTCTTTATGGACATTCATCTTTAACACAGCTTAAGTATGAATAAGCTACAGTTAGATAAAATTATTGTTCTTATTTGAGGAATTGCATGTAGAAATACTGAAAATGGTCCAGCCCTCACATAAACACTCATGTATCTACTAGATGAGAATACAAGCTGAAGTCACTCAGCTTCTCATTCAACCATGTAGTTCTTGGAAGTTTCTTTACAGTGCTCTTCCTCATTCTTCAGTTTCTCATAACTGACCAGAACAGATTATATTGTGAACTAAGAATATGATTTGTCCATAACCAAGAGTGAATTTTACATAAAATGTGAGCTAAAAGGCATTCCTAAATGTCATAGTTATACAATTCAGATAACCACTCTCAAAATATAAATAAATAGGGTAGTGCCCTTCAGCTAAAATATTTGCAGAAACCACAAAGAGGACTGAGACATTTTGCAAAATCAGCTAGGAACTAAGATGCATTTTGAAGGTACAAGATTGAAAGCAGTGTGAAAATACTTTAGAAGTACTTTGGAAATTTGACCTATTAGATTTAGGTGTATTTTCATTGAAATGGCCATTTTTGCAATTGGATGAATACCTTAGAGAGATAAGTATTCATATTTAGAACCATTACATTGCTCAAATTAAGACCCCATCTTACTTACCTTTTTGATTCTGTTTCTAGAGATTGTGCCATGCTTCTTCTCAAGTATTTCCAAAAACTGAATGTAAAAGATGCCTCTTGTGACTTGTCTCTACTTTAGTTCCAAGCCTGTTAAAACAAAAAATATTATCCAAAATTATCAGATATGTTTTAATTACACACCCATAGGGATTTCTCCTGAATTTTGCATAAGATTTGTACAATGGTTTATACCTCTGTATATGATCATAAATATTGTCCTTTTTTATTTTTTTAACTCCAGTTACCTTTGAAGATTGACATTATCAAGCACCCAAATGAAACAGATGGCAAGAGCACTGCTGTGCACGCAAAGCTCCTGGCACCTGATGATGTTACAATTTATAAATACCCTTGCATTCCAGAATATGAAGAAAAGAGACATGAAGTAAGAAAACTGTAGCACTATAATCACCTTGAATTTCCTCTGTTCACCACCTTACATAAGTGGATTCATTGTGTGCCATAAGAAGTATTTTGCCCACGTGTGAACGTGTTCAACTTGCAGTAAGTTAAACAGCAGTTTGTTGAACAGCACAACAGCTCATCATATTGTGCTCATCATATTCAGCAGCTGCAGTACTTAAACTTTGAATTAACATGGTTTTTAACATAAATTTAACATTACATTAGAAGATAGAATATTTTGGACGAGATACTTTTGAATCTTGTCCTGACTTAAATGTTTTATAAAGTTTGTAAAATTTCTGTTCTTTAATGGAAGAATTCTTGATGTTTTATTAGATTTTGTTGACACTCAGATCTCTCTCTTCTTTTCATTCAGATAGCCCTTATATTTCCTGGCCCCAATTCGGTTTCAGTAAAAGATATTGCTTTCCATCTCCAAAAGTACACTAAAAAAGGTGTCTGTAATAGTGATGATGACTGTTCCAAAGAACCAGTTCTTAAGCAAGCAAAAATAGAACCTAAGGAAGAAAAAAGTCCAAGCGAATGCGTCTCAAGCAGCAGGAATGAAGGCACTGGACTGAAGAAAATAATATTTATTGACAGTACCTGGAACCAAACCAACAAGATAATAACTGATGAACGACTTCAAGGTAAAAAATATAAGTTGATATTGAGATGTTATTGCTGCAGAAATGTTTAAGGGACATATATCTATAACAGACCTGAGCATGATATAAGTGTATATCTACCCCTATAGGCACATGAAAGACTTGACAGCCTGTTTCAGGGCTGGAAATACTTCCTGAGCCAAAGACTCCATTACTTTCCATGTCATATAATTTGTTTTGCAAAATGATAATACTGAAGAAAGCATTTACATTTATTTCTCTTACTTCTCTATTGGATCAAATTTTGTCTCACAGAATGGAAGCTCTGATGTTAAGACAATAGAACAGTAGTTTGAGTAATCTCTGAAGAAAGTCAAAAAGGATTCCTTTGCAGGTGGTTCTCTGCTTTTCCAGGAGACCCAGGGGAGCATTTTTGTACACAGTGGTGGCAGACAGGCCACTGAAAGGTGAATGAGGGATTTAGGAGACACAGCACAGGCATGTCATGGCTTGGGTTCTTTTTCTAGTGCAGTTGTTACATTTTGATGATCTCACTACTTTCCAGACTAAAAGGGAATTCCTGCTGGCCCTTTGTACCCTCACAACTCTGAAAGCAGAAACTGGTAACTCTGCAGAAGTTTTTTGTCTTAGGTTCATTACAAGAAGTTTACATTTAAGAATTCTAATTAAATCCACAAAAGGCAAAACAATTTAGCAATAGCATTCCATTTCCTTGGAGATGAATAGGAGTTTGAAAACACTTTCATTAGAGGAAAAGGTGCACTTAGCTGGGAGGCAGCCTGTCAAGTTTATATGCAATATATATAACTACTAGTGCCTGCTTTACACTGCATCCTACAAGGAATTTCACAGACTGTCTTCCATGGAAGATGAATGTTGTCTTGCTGTCTAGTCAGTTTATTAAAGAATCCCACATGTTAGTATAATGTATTGGCTAATTAAAATCCTGTTACAAGTATTTAGTTTAACACAGAACATGCTCTATCAACTACATTGAAGTATTACTGTAACAATTAGAGTAATTGCATGTTGCAAGTTTCTGTAAAGCATTTGGAACTTATTTTAAGAGGATGAATTCAAGAAAAGTAACAGGCAGCCAGGGGAACTGAAGATTTCCATGGAAGCTTATGCAGTGTTTCAGTAAAAAAATCATAATTGGTGTTACTTTGGAGCTCTCAAAGGATGGTTTCCAGTTCCCCCATGACAGTGCTGATCTGGTGGACTCTTCCCTCCTTTTTAGAACATCATCTTGGATCCAGCTGTTTTCCAGTCCTCTGTTTCCCTGAGCACCTTTCAGGATTGTTGTAAGGTTTGATAGTGTCATGGAAGTCAGGTTTTTACTTATAGGGAGAATTTTACCCCCCCCCACCTCAGGTGTAACAGTTGC